GAGCTTGGTTGCAAACCAAATGTGATAACTTATAATGCACTATTGGACGCAGTTGGCAGGACTGGAGATGTGAGCAGAGGAAAGGAGCTTGTGAGAGACATGCAACTGAAGGGGATTGAACCGAATTCACAGACACCACAGGTTATATAATCAATGGTGTGATTGCAGAAGTTAGAATTTCTCGATGCTTGTTATTGGTTGGAGGAAGCGCTGGACAATCATTTGCACGAGGTAATGTGTCAGTTTTGCTAAAAGGGAAAGCGCTGGAACTGCTCAGCAAAGCAGTAGGTGGCAGACAAGAGGGTTTTCCTTGGTGCTGGAGAGTTTGGGACACCCTTGTAATTAGCTTTGGATCCAGAACTAATTTTGCAGATACATATCCATTCGATTAGTCTCATGGATCCTCTTGCAACTTATGATTCCACAACATGAAGTTTGATCGGTAATCTTCTGAACATTTGTGTCTTAGCATTTGATCATGTTGTAGTATAATACTGGACAATACTAATGTACAGAGTGAGCAATGTTAAAATAGTACAAAAAGAAGTACTAAGTTGTAATTTTTCAAGTGCACAATGTACCGGAGTAATAATCAAGAGTTTCCAGATTATAAAAATTTGTCATAAGTTTTAGCGATACCACCTTTTTTCTTGTTTACAGCACAGATTATATTCAATTGTCAAGGTTTTTAAGCCACCAAAAATTGAATTGGACAGCGTTATACTATTTCATACTCTAAAAATACCAAACAAACACTATCTTCGTATGCTTGTTAAGGGCGGCACTGTTAGCCTTTAGACCCAAAATGCTCAATAGTTAATACCTGTTTATGTCTAAGATATACTATATAGGAACTGCTAACCATGTTTAGATGCCATATGAATGAATTGAAGATTGTGGCTTTGAAAAATTCCGTAAACATATCACCTGCTTGTACCTGCTATGAAGCTTGCTGGAAGCTTGAACAAGAATGACCTTGTTTGTTCATGAAGGAGGCTTTCTTGAATAAGATCCTTTCTTTTATCACATATTCTGTATGCTAGGCTGCTTACTTTTGTTCTCTCTTTCCTATTGCAATTGTAAATTTGTAACTACTATTTTTCCTTCAAAGTATTACTGTCAACTTCTTAGTTAACTTTAACTGCGATGAAGATATTGCATCCTGAGTGTAATTCTACAGAAGTTAAGAATTTAGCCTGTTTGATTCTGGAGCTGCATGATTCCACAAACCGTAGAAATTGGAATTCTGAATGACGATCTGTTTGCTTGGTTGTGAGTGAACTGATGATGTTCTTTGTGACATATGTACCGTTTACATATATATGTTCTTCCAATTTTCAGAAGTTTGTTTGCAGAGCCACTAGATTTTAGACTGCAAATTTTAGTTTGAAATTGATTTTATATCTGAATAGCAGATCTGTTTCTTCAGGCATTTCGTTTTCAGCTGGAGTGA